TCTACCTTCTGTGTCTATGAATTTGCCTATACTAGATATTTCAAATAGTGGAATCCTATCTATAATATTTGCCCTTTTATGTCTGGCTTATTTCACTTAACATAATGTTTTCAAGGTTCATCCACATTGTAGCATGTGTCCGAACTTCGTTCCTTTTTATGGCTGAATAATATTCCACTGTATGTACATACACACCACATTTTGTTTATCCATTCATCTGGTGAATGCCACTTGGATCATTTCTGCCTTTTGGCTATTGTGAAGAATGCTGCTGTGAACTTTGGCGTACAAGTATCTGTTTGAGTTCCTGATTTAAATTCTTCTGGATATATACCTAAGAGTGGAATTTGGTGGGTCAATGGTGATTCTGTTTAACTTTTGGAGGAATTGCCAAACTGTACATTTCACTTTATACTCTGTTATTTTTACCTAACATTGTGATGTGATCGTGACCCTGTATCTTTATTTTTTTTTAAGATTTATTTATTTATTTTAGAGAGAGTGCACACATACTAGGGAGGGGCAGAGGGACAGGGAGAGAGAAACTCAAGCTGACTCCGCACTGAGCGCAGGGTGCACAGCCCGATGTGGGGCTCGATCCCATGACTGAGATCCCAACCTGCGTCAAAACCAGGAGTCGGACTCTCAACAGACTGTGTCACCCAGGGGCCCTAGCCCCATATCTTTAAATATCGTTTGAGTATGTGCTTTTTAATGGCTGGATAGTAGTCCAGTTAAAACTTTTGATGAGCTATCATTTATTTATTTAAGTCCTCTATATTGAACATTTAACAGATATAAAGTACCTACTTAATAAGTTATTTCTTTGCAAAAAAATCAGTGTATTTGTTCCTTTTAGCATAGACTACTAGGAATAGAATCACTAGGTTAAACTATACAAACATTTTAAAGACTTGAAGCTCATTTCCAAATTGTGATTCAAAAAGGCTGGTTCAATTTACATATCATATATAAGAATACTGATTTTCCTTCTCCAGTCCTAGATATTAGGTTGAACCATGTGAAATTGTCAATAGTTGATCATTTTGACCTATAGAAACAATTTTATACCTATTAACTTATTTTTCAAAATCTGTGATTTGATTGGTGAAAATGGCTCTTTTTAGTGTTAATTTACTTACTTGGTTACTCTTAAGATGAACAGTTTTTTCATATGTTTATTGGCCATTTATATTTTGTGAAATACCTAGTCATGCTTTTTCTTCATTATTCTATTTGTATGTTTCTGTTTTTCTTAATAGTTTTTTAAGAGCTCTATACTAGGCTTACTAACCTTTTATATGTTGCAGTATTTTCTGAAGCTTACGATTTTTTTGATATATAGAAGTTTACATTTTTTTATATGGTCAAATATTTTTGCAGATATTTTGACAGCTGTGAATGATGCACCTGCTAATCCCTCTTTTTGGGATATTGCATTATTTGGATATTACTATTATTCAGTTCTCTTTTTTATTAAAAAAAAAGGCTTTTGGTGTTATATCCCAGATTTTAAAACACTACATTTCATTGAGTCCCAGAAATTATCAGTTGTAAGACACATCATTATTTGATGGGCCAGTAAGAGAAAAGTAAGATGCCATCCATGCTGTGCCACACTGGTGTTGTAAGGTACCTCTTGATGTCAGAGCTGTTAAAACACAAAACAAAAATTGTCTCAGAATTGATGAAAAAAAAAGAATTGATGAAAGTACCAAGCTTTAATAAATGCTGACAGTTGCCTGGTTAAGCTGCTCACCTCATTAGCTCTTGCCTCAAATCATAAGTAGTCTTTGAAGATTTAAAGTCAGTGGAAACCATTCTTGAATGGGTTTCTAATGCATTATAATTTGAGTGTTCATGAACACATTGGATCTCAGGGTTTTCAGGAAACTTAGACATCATCTAATCCAAATCCAAGTGACTTAAATTCCCTTTACAGCATCCCTGCCAGAGGGCTTCCTAACCTTTTGTGCCAACGATATGAAATGTGTTGGGACTTGATTTTAGTTCACTGTCCTTACCAAAGATGGGCTGATCACTTAGCGGGTTCAGGTGCAAGCTTTCCACAACTTAACTTTTGCATGTCTTAGCAGAGAAACGAACACAAGATCTGGGCCTGATTCTGACCAGTAGGGAGCAGTGTTTTGCCTTCAGAGGGCAGGCCAGCTCCTCCGGTCCTGGATGGAGTCTCTCTGGGTCAGGAAGGGGTAGGCCCAGCTACCTGCTACTCGCCTGTTGGCTGCCTGTGACTTCTCTGGGAACTTCTAAGAGGAAGAATCTGTGCCCCCACCCCACCCCCAGCAGCAGTATTCTGCCCAGGCTCCGCTTTCTGGTTATTTTAGGAGGAGGAGAAGCACTCGTAGATACGTTCTTGCCAGCAGAAGATGATCTTTGATTTAAGAATGTTGACTGGGCACTCTCTGTAGGCTGAATAGCTGCCACATTAGTATTTCAGTGATTTGTTCACTCGGGGGGAAGATAAGAGGAGAAATATGGGGTATTTTACCTATGTACTCCTTGGATCGCTACTTCTGAACAAACCTCTTTTCAATATGTTAGAATCCTCTGGCTGCTGAAGTATTTCTGCTGGGTTTTTTTGTTTTGTTTTGTTTTTTGGTATGAAATCCTTTACCCTTGATGAATAGCATAGTCTTCCACTCCACGTCTGCTGCCCCTTTTTATTGGGATAGTTTTTTGTGTTTTTTTTTTTCTCGCAGGTTATGGGAGAAGATATCGTCCCAGAAAAAATAAAAGATGAGGTTCACACAGAGGTGAAATGTGTTGGCTCTACAGCCCTGACCGCCTTGGTGATTGCATCTTCGAAAGAATTTGAAGACAAGTGGTTCAGAAAGATCAAAGACCACTTCTGTCCCTTTGAAAATCAGTTCCATACAGAGATACAAATCTTGGCTTAGTGGTCTCTTTAAAAACAAAAGAAAACATCCTGTACTGTTTTAATTGTCCTTGTTTATTTCATACAGAATCCACTGCTAATCATGGAATATAGTGAATTTAAAAGTGATTATGTTTTATAAAAACAGCTTCTCTTCCAGATTATTTCTACTGTGTTCAGTTTCTTGATTTTTTGTTTTGTTTTCTTTATAGACTTTTGCCATTCACTTATCTTAGACCTACTCTCCCTTTAGGAAATATCTATTGGGAAAGTGAATAAAAGAGGCTCTTAGATTATTTTTTAAAAACAGGCACTGTGTTATAATTAGCAGTAAAAGTATCCATCCACATTGTTCAGGTAAATTCATCAGGAAAGAACAAGAATATTGAAATGTAAAAAGTAAACCATTTCTGAGAAGGGTGTGTCAAAGTCTACGAAAGCTCTGAGAGTTTGTGTATGGGCCCAAACGAAAGAGTGCACATGGAGTGGGCTGCATTCTAGAAACTCGGGCCTTCTCTACTGGGCAGCAGTCAGCACGCTTGCCTGGTGCTGCAGAGGGGGACGCCATCTCTCCTGTGAGGCTGTTTGCTCTGCAGACATCATGATGAAAAGATAGTCTGGAACGAAGGGCGGTTAGTGCCTTGCTCACCAGACGCACAGAAACACGAGGCCCGCGGGCCACTGTCCTGCAGGGTGATGGTCCTGTCCTTGCAGACACACGGATTATAGTCACAGTCTCTGACATCTTCGATACAGAAGGCCATTACCTTACTCACATCGTCTGGAATGGAAGAGCTCCCTCATGAGGAGTGGAATTTAGTAGTCAAGCAAAAACTGCCTCAAGTGTTGTCCCACACAGCTTTTTATTCTCAGCAGAGGGAAAAGAATTCCAGCCCTGGGCAAAGAAGCGGGTCCTCAGGATTTCCCTTCTACTTCACCTGCTGCTTCACCCCTTCGCAGGCCCCTTCCCAAAACAGACAAACGTCTGATTCTGTTTCTGTTTTGACTGCTCTTTTAGTACCTACGATAGCCTGACTAGTAATTGCAAGTTGTCATTTATCTCTAATGTGAAACAAAAGATTGGTATGATTAATAGACACCGTAATTTTTAGGAATCATTAAAAAGTATGGAAACCTCGTAACAGCTCCCCATTGCCCTCCATCCACTCACGGAGTCATGAACAATCATTATGGAGCTCCTGTGACGTGACAAGCATTGTGTGGTTGCCATGGAGACACTGGCTCTGTCTCGGAGTTTATGGTCTAGTTGCAAATGGCCCCTCAGGATAGAGCCCGAACTGCCAATCCCTTCACGATAGAGCCTCTGATTCCCAGGCGCCCTCCTTCCCTGCTCCCCAGCTTTAGAGGCACCATAGCTTTTGCATATAGGCCTTCACACTGGCAATTTGGTCTGGCACCTCTCCCCACCCCCCATCATAGGGCTGATGCTGTTCACCTTCCAGGTCTCCATTTCCTTACAGCTTCCCAAAAGTCTTGACCTCCAGGTGGCAGTAGGTTTCCCTCTTTCCTGCTCCTTCACTGTTTCACTTGCATCTTGGTTCTTACCTACTCTATTGTAATCGCCTGCTTGTTTTTCACGATAGAATTTAAACTTTGTAAAATCAGTGACTAGGACTGTCTTTCATATCGGTATCCTCAGGGCAGAATACTTGGCATTTCATGAAATATTTGTTGAATTTCTGAACTGGCCAGCATCTCATTTTGTTGGCACAAAAGTTTAATCCCCCGGAGATCCAACACAGTGCTAAGGCAGAAGCACCCTGCCTGTTTCTCCTTCTGGAGCTAAACCCCTTTCTCCTGTTAGTCTAGGCTTCCTAGAAATGCCCTTTTCCCTCTAGTCTGGCTTGGCTTCCCATCTCGATCCTAGTGCCCTTCTAACTTTGTCCATGCTTTTAGCTTTCAGCCATCTGGCTGTCCTCCCAGATCCATCGTCTGTGCTGTCCCAAACTGCCTGAGTGGTCTTCGGGAATCTTCCCGCACACCTGCCCCACCTCACTTTCCTGGCAGCAATGTGGTGACGTGTGTGAGAAGCCTGCAGTGTGATGTTTAGCTGTAATGCAGGGCAGGAAAGAGCACTCAGGAATACCGGGCACCTCAGAGTTTTATTACACACGTCATCTTGGTCATTTCCAGCACAGATGGTGAAGGGTAGCGTTAACTGAACAATGATTATGCTAAAGAAAAATCTCAGGCCTGTCTACTTAGACACTCCACCCTCTTGTCAATGAATGAATCACTGGGAAGGTGAGCAAAGGTGAACCACAGAGGTGACTACACTCCAGGTGGGTGGGGTGGGACCCAAGGGCAATTCTTGCCTCTTGAGACTCCCGAAAGGCCTGCCTTCAAAATTTTCTCCCAAGGAGGAGTTTGTACCCGGTATTTGAACTGGTGAGAGTCCTTTTTCCTTTACACTCTTAACACCTCTACAATCTTCATACTGTGGCCAAAGGATCTTACAAAGACTTTTCAGTCTGGCAGTGACTTCCCAACTCATTCATGAAGCCTGTGTGTGAGGCCCTGCGTGGTCTGGCCCTGGCCCACCTCCCCCCCCCCCCCCAACTCACTGGTTTTTCTCATGTCCTTGGACTCCAGGACTCCAAGCACCTTCCCACCCAAGCCCTTTGCCCATCCAGTTACCTCTACTTGGAACATTCTTCCCTGCCATCTCCCAATCCTGCCATCAGCTTCCCCTTCCTACAGATCTCAGCTCAGGAATCATCCTCAGACAAGATGTTCCTGATCCCAGACTTGCTCAGGTCCCCCTTTAAATTTCATAGTGCCTGTGCTTTTTTTCCCAAATGGGATTTTTTATATATATATATAGGATTATAATAGAGAAGATAGAGGACTGGCATCTGTTTGGGACTCACCCTTGTCCTTTTCTCCCTCCTTGGCAGTGACTTCATCACCTAAAGCTTCAGTATTGTGTCTGCTTAGCCCTTGAGCTAACAACCTCCCCACCCCCTATCTCTGGGAACTACCCTCTCACCCACACAGGTGGGTACCTGGCTGCCATATTTGTACTCAATGACTCTAACTAATTGGAAAGAGGACGGAAGGTTTACCTGCTCATAGCTCAACCACTTCTCAAGGCTGAGAAGTCTAATGGCCTGAAAGTCAGGGGACTAATGGTGTATGTCTTGATCTGAGTCCCAAAGCCAGAGAACCAGGAGGGCCAATGTCCAAAGGCAGAAGAAGGATGTCCCAGCTCAAGCAGAGAGAGCAAAATTGCCCTTCCTCTGCCTTTTTGTTCCATTCCAGCTTCCAGTGGGATGAATGATGTCCACCTGCATTGGGGAGGGTGATCTTCTTTACTCAGTTCGCCAATTCAAATGCTAATCTCAACCAGAAACTCTCAAGATACACTCAAAATAATGTTCTTTCAGCTATCTGGGCATCCCTTAGCCCAGTCAAGTTGACACATAAAGTTAGCCATCGCATGGAGGCAAAAGGAGAAGGTCAGGGTCAGAGAGATTCTATGCTACTGGCTTTGAAGATGGAGGAAGGGGCCATGAGCCAAGGAATGCAGGTGGCCTATGGAAGTTAGAAAAGAAAAGGAAATGGGTGTTCTCCTAGGGTGTCCAGGAAGGATCACAGGCCTGCTGACGCCATGATTTTAGCCCAGTGAAACCCACGTTGGAGTTCTGAACTAGAAACCTGTAAGGTAATTTGTGTTGTTTTAAGCTATAACGTTTGTGGTCCTAAGTTGATTGCTTGACTCTACTACTAGAATCTTGAAGAATCTTGCTAGAATCTACTAGAATCTATTGAAGTAGTTTCAGTTTCTGTTACTTGCAACCAAAGAATCCTCAGACAGGCCACTTGGGTCCTTTCAATCTTGGTTTTAGAATAAGGCTTTGTTCTTAGAAGGCTATTTCTTTTATATGTCACTTTCCTTTTTAAAACCTTGATAGAACATTATTGTAGAAGGTATCAAATCAAAAATGCAGCAGTTGCTTTCAAGAGCTTCCGTTCTCTAGCAGAAGTAAGGGGACATCCACGTGAGTAGTAGATAGCGGGCAGGAGGGAGGTCTGGGTGTTGCAGAAGTACAGAGGAAGGCTGGGCTTTCAAAGAAGTTTCAGGAAGGTGGAAACATCTGAGTTGGACCTTGGAAAGGGGAAAGATTGTAGCAGGCTCTGTGGGGAATGAAAGGCAAGCACATCCGGTTTCTCAGTAGGGAGATGAAAAGAGCCACGGCCTGGAGGACACGAAGGCTGGTCATCCAGGTGAGTGGGTGTGAAGGGACATGGGTGGTGAGGCCGGGCAGGTGAGCCAGCATAAAATTATGGGGGGGGGGGGGGAGTCATTGATGCCACAGTAAAAAGTTTGACTTCGCTCAGGGGACAAATACCAGCTATAGAAAGTTCTTGAGCAGGGGAATGGCTGGTTTAGGGTTATGCTTTGGACTGATAAATCTGATTTTACTTCCAAATGTTTAAAGTCTTTGCGCTTCATGCAATATGTGTTTGGGGGTCTAGGAAAGCCCCGGATATTAGCATTAACATGGAGGGTGGAGGTGGCCTCAGGATACCCAAGATGTCCCAAGTGCCTTAGGGAATTCCCACTGTTGCAGAGTTTGCTACTCTTCGGGGCTTCCCATTTCACGTGGAATGAGGCTGACTGCAGCTGGCGGTTGCCGGCCGTCGGGCACACTCTTCCCACCTTTCGCATGGCTGACGATTTCGGTTTCTCACGTTCCCGTCTCCGCTCCTGTCTCCCCCATACAGGCCTGCACCCCTCCCCCCCCCGCCCCAGGTCACTCTCAGACCCAGCAAACCACAGGTTAGCAAGATGCAAGCGCTAGAGGCCGCGAGGCTCTTGACGATAAGCTCTCCGAGCCGGGGCCACATCTGCTTCCATCCGTACGGGCCGCCAGCTCCCGCCACCCCCGAAGGGCCCAACTGGCGGAGAAATACGGGACTCCAGGCCCTTCTGGCGTGGGAACCAAGGCTGGCCTCCCAGGACTTGGGCTAGAATAATTGCGCAAGGAAATGCGAACCGGACGTCTGTTCACGCGGAGCCGCAGGGACGGTTCCCGGAACGGCCGTGCGGGGCTCGCCCCTCGGCAGCGGGCAGCGCCGCAGGGCCCGCGAGAGCAGCTCACCCGCGCCCACGTTTGCAAGTCGGGAAGCCGGGGGGTGCCGTTCTCGAAGCGCAGCCGCCCGAAGCGAGCCCCTGGCCCTGCCGGCGGAGAGACGCAGCTGGAGTGGAGAACGGCCGTCTCCAGAGGCCCGGCTGAGCTGACTCGGCCGTCCGTTGTCCCGCAGCAGGGCAGGAGAGGAGCGCCGAGGGGACAGACGGGGGGCAGGCAGCGGGGGGGCGGATGGGCCGGCCAGGCCCGTTACAGCTGGACTCTGTCCACCGCACCATCCCCCACCCCCCCCACCCCCGCCCCGCAAAGGGGTATGCGGAAGCCCTCACCCAGTACCTCAGACTGGGGCTGCATTTGCAGACTAGGCCTTTAAGCGCCCGGCGCCAAATCTGTTACAAGTCGGAACCCTCTAGAGCAACAGGACCAACAACGTGCATATTTATACCCATATCTCTGCCACCTGTCTGTACAAGAGATGGACTACGTGAGCTGGCTTTTGTGATTATGGAAGCTGACAAGTCCCGCGGGCCGCGGGGCGACTTGACAAGCTGGAGACCCCGGGCGAGCCCAGGGTGTAGCTCCAGGCTCAAGCCCCAGGGAAAGCCAGTGTGGCAGTTGGAGTCTGATGGCAGGCGAGACCCGTGTCGCAGTTCAAAGGCAGAGTCGGGCAGGAGGAATGCTCCCTTACTCGGGAGGGTCAGCCTCCTCGTCCTCTGCAGGCTGTCGGGTCAGCGAGGCCCGGTGGCCGAGGACCCGCTCGGTCCCCAGGTCTGCGAGGCCCCGCGGCGCGCGGACCCCCTCGGTCACCAGGCCCTGCGGAGGAGAGAAGGACGGAGCAGCTCGGGACGCACCACGTCTGCCTCAGTCCAAACCCAGCGAGCACGAGAAAAAGGAGGTTGTGCTTGGGCTCGTGCGGGTGTGTCTGTGGTGTTTATACTCCCTGCTGACAGCTTTTCTGACACACATACGCTCCTCAGGAGGAAGCTGAGAAAGTGAATGACAGATGCTCTGTGTCCAACAACTTCTTGGACCAGGTCCAGAGATGAAGCGCCTGGAGATGAGGCTCTGGCGCTCCAGGCAGGGACGCAGGGGGCTCACACCAAGGTGCGAGCAGGGCCGGGGAGAGAAGTCGCCCGCGCTGAGTATTCGTGTCCCCTGCAGGAGCAAAGCTCCTTGACCAGTCAGTCGGCATTCGCTGTGCGCTGGGACCAGCCCGGCCCCGAGGTGAGGGTCCCTCGGGCCAGCAAAGTGTCCTTGGCCTCCCGGCTCTTTCAGTGCAGACTGGGAGATGAGAGATCAGGGTCTGGTGAGGACCAAATGAACACAACAGATAACTGCTAGGAGAGGCCTGGGGGACCAACACTTGCAGCCGGTGGCGGATAATCCCACGTGTGGATAATGTGATCCCTAATCCCTGGTGTGGGGTTTAGGGATCCATCCGTCCCCGCTCCACCCCGGGCAACTCAATCATACTATTTCTCTCATTCTCTCATGTTCTTCATGGTGGTGGTTCAGGTGAGTGTTGGTGCCTCGGCCGACTTTGGAGTTCTCCGGACAGAGGTGAGTCTGGGTCTCTGCCTGGCACTGAGATGGTGTCAGCACATACGGGTGGGCACCCCATTGTTGCTGTGGAATTTCACACTGCGGTAGAGATGTTCAGGATGGCCCCCAGTGAGCAGGATGTATGTTCAGGATGGCCCCCAGCGAGCAGGGCTGCCGAGGCAGCTACAGGTGTGATTCTAGCCCAGAGCAGAATTCAAGACGGGGCAAATCGGGTTTGGGAGGATTGGAAACTTGGGTAAGGATTTGTTTGGCTCTTCAGTCAGCCCCTTGCTGTGTGTGTAAAACCCTCCTAGTGTCTGGTGGAAATAGCATCTGGGGTTAGAGCCCAGGGCTGGGGGCCCTTGGGAATCCAGTCCCACAAAGGAACGGCCCAGCCTCACGTGAGCGGGTCCTAACGTTGTATCAGGCTAGGCTGGCTCATGATGCGGTCATCAATGACCCCAAATCTCCGTGGCTTACACAACAAAGGTTTATTTCTGGCTCCTGCTACTTCTCCACGGCGGGGTCGGTGGGAAGAAGTGGGAGGTCCTGCTCACCACAGTCTCTCAGGAATCTGGGCTGGTGGAGGGGGCTCCGTCTGAGGCATGCTCCTGCATGGCCAGCTGCACCCAGGCTCTTAAAGCCTCTGCCTGGAAGTGATCCTCACTTCTGCTCCTAGTCCTCCAGCCACAGCAAACCGCAGCTAACGTCCCAGCAGGCAGGGGTCACACGCACGACAAAGTGTCCAGAGGAGGAGGAACAATACCCGTGAGCCAGTCAGAAGGCCGCAGTGGGGCGCCTGGCTGGTGGAGAGTGCCTGGGGGCCCGAGGGCTGCTCTGCTCCACTCAGACTAAGCCAGATGCAGGCAGAGGCAGAGCAGGCCTTGGGGGCTCTGGGTCCCGGGCAAGCTTTACCTTCCTGAAGCTTTCTCAGCAGACTGCAGAATCCAGTTTAGAACCTTCAGCAGCACCCAACTGTTCTAACCTCATTACGGCGGTCAGCAGGAAAACAGCACATCAGGGCCGGGGTTTAAAGAACCTTCAGGAACCAAAGGGTTTGTTGCTGTTGTTGGACTTTCAGGAACTAAGGAGGAAAAAAGTGAAATGAGGACAGGAATGCTATTTAAAAGAAAACAGAAGCAAAGACGCCTTTGCCTTTGCCAAACACTGGACAAACACGGGGATGCGCTGAAGGGAGGAACCCTCTGGAGAGCGTGACTTGGGATGCCACGAGCTGTTGGGGTTCCGAAGCCAACAGGAGGAAGGGCTCTGTCCTCCCAGCCCTCCATGGCAAAGGCAAAGCTGCTGAGCCAGAGACGAGCGACGAGAAGACATTTGCTGAGGTGAGTTGGTGGCAGGGGGAGGTCACAGAAACAGGAAGATGCTTGAGGGGCTTCTGTGCCTACTTCTGTCAGGCTGGGACAGCCTGGGCCCCAACCCTCCCTCCACCTTTAATGCCCTTGTTCATCAGGCCTCCTTAACTGTCCCTTCTCTGGGAAGTGTCCCCTGACCTCCCCAAACTGGGCTGCCTGGCCCTCCCTGTGCCTGCTGTATTCCTTGTACCCCAAGATCTGGGACCACCTCCAGAACAGAGGGCGCACTGTGAATCTGACAGTGAATGAATGATGGGGCTTGTGAGGGCCCAGCATCCTTGCTTCAGGTGTCAACAAGCCAGATGGAGTCCCCGGCTCTGACTGCAAGGGGGCTGCAAGGTCAATGCCGAACCCTTCCTGGTTGCTTCGGGCTGCCCTGGGCGCTGCTGCAGGGCAGTTCCCAGATCCTGACAACACAAGCCCCTGGGACTGGCCCAGACTCAGGGACCTCGAGACCAGCCCAAGGCTCCCCAAAGCCAGAACGTGAGCTGATGAACCGCCTGGCCCAGTTCCATCCCACAGACACCCTGGCTTGCCCCATCCTTGGGGGCTACAATTTCAACCGACCCCACACTACTTAGAGTGGCACATTCTGGGGCTTTATCCCTAATTCACCGGCCCCAGGGATACCTCACTACTATGCCTTTACCACCCTTCCCAGAAACATCCCGAAATGTTCCCATACCTTCTGTAGAGTGGGCCATTCCCGGGCACTGGGAAACAGGAGTACCTTGGTCACAGCCACAGTCTGCCTCTTCGTGCCTCGGTTTACCCATATGTGAAACCTGGGCTGCATCTGCCCCTTCTTATATTACAGAGATTCAGGAAACATTATTATTAAAGCCCTGGCTGCTCTTTGGAAGAAAAGGACTCTATTTTCATGCTTTTGTCCTCTAGCTCCCCACCCCCCACCTCCCTAGAACTTTCTGGAATGTGCTCCATAGGCCAAACTAGAGAGGGAACCCCTGGGACTGGGGGGTGTTGGCAAGTGAATGGTCACAGGCCTGGGAACAAACACAGGCAACGATGTTGTCCAAGCACTTTTAGTCCAAAGGGAAGCAAGTTCAAAAGCTGCTAGTCATGGAGGTGGGGTCCTTGGGCCAGACAGTCCAGGCATGCCCAGCCCCGGCCCTGGGAGGGCTGCTGGGGGGATGCGACCCATCAGAAATGAGGGGAGGCTTGTAGAAATGGCCTCCAGATGTGGACCGTCCGGGGCAGCAAGCCAAGCTGCTCTAGCTGCTGCCGTGTGGGCCTGTAGGCACTGAGGTTGCTGCGGGGCGCTGGGGCGCTGGCGAGGGGCCTCGGGGAGAAGTGCGCCTGTGGGCTCCGGGCCCCCCACGGGCCATGGTGGGGCCGCAGCCTGGGGGGTGGGGGGGAGCTGGGGGCCAGGGGACTGCTGGGCCCCGACGCCGCCGGCCGACTCTGGTTCTGGGGGTTGCTGCCCGTCGAGGCGCTGCTGAAGGGGTCGGAGGACGTGTGGTCGCTGGCTGAGCAGCTACTACCACTGAGGCGGCCAGGCGGGGGGCTGCGGCCTGCTCTGGGCTGCAGGGGCGCCACCGGCCTGGGGGACTTGGGGCCCATCACCGGCTTGGAGGAGGCGTAGAGGTGGCGGAGCTCCTCGTCAAACAGCTCCACCGCGGCGCCTGTGAACTTGGAGAGGATGTTCCTGTGGACGTGTCCGCAGAGCCAGGTGAAGCTGCAGGGGAGGAGGAGAGTGACGGTGGGACCAGGGAGGCTCCTGCTGCGGGGTGGGGGGTGGGGGGATGTGGGCTCATGCAGGGCTGGGGGGAACGACTCAACGTTAGCCCTCCGCTCCTCTGGCCTGCTCATTTCATCCCGGCAGAACCCCCGGAGGGCCACCTTGGTACCCCCTTCACGGATGGCAAGACCGTGGCGCAGAAGCCAGCAAATGTTTGCAGGTGAACAGTGAAGACACGAGATTGGATCTCTGGCCTCAGGGTTCCCTCCTGGTGCTCAGATCCTCGCCTCTCCCTGCTGAAGCCCCAAACGGCTAAGCGACAGCTGAGTCCCAGTGTCCCCAACTCTGTGCTGATGAGTCCCCTAGCTGCTGAAGCCCCCTGTGAAGTGTGGGAACCCCTGCCTCTTCTAACCAAAGGGGGGGTCTGGGGAAGACAGCTGCAAAACGTGGGCTGCTCCTTAGTGGGAGGGGAGGGAGAATCCCATGCTCTTCGGGAGGTGGAAGAGGGAACACAAGGCAGGCCCGCAGGAACAGGAATGACAAGCCGCGCCCCCCCCCCCCCCCATTCCTCCAGCCCAGCCCAGCCTGCAGAGTCCCTGCTCTTTGAGGCACGGTGGGGCCCAAGCAAGGCTGGGCCAATCCTGGGAAGAACAATGAAGCTTTGTTTACACCTCACCTCCCACCCAGGAGCCACCCACACACCCCAGAGAGGTGAGCAGCTGATGCTGAGCCTGGGGCCAGCCAGGTGGCAGGGAAGGCGGCAAACGTGGGGACAGCGGGACTCTTGGCTACACTAAGATGTCAGTCACCCTGTGTTGTTTGAAATCAGACTAGATTAGGCCAAGCAACTGTGTGCTTTACGCAACGAAACAGGTCCAAGGGTGCCCTGGAGACTTTTCAGGCTCCCACGCCCTCTCTGCCCTCCACCCCAGGGGCCTCTGCACCCCCCCCTCAGGTCCCTTGGTGTCCCGGTCTCCCCTCCTTCACACCCTGCGTGGCCTTCATTCCATGCCCTAGCTTTTACACTTTATCACCACCCATGGTAGGAAATACACATCATATCTATTGCTTTCTGGCCCTTAGTACGTGGAATTGACTTCGTCACAATCTCTCATGACTGGTCTATTCCTGGCCCCTTTTAATTTTTGTAGCTATTTACTTAGTTATTTTAAATAATGTAATAAGCACCAACAAACCCACCACCTAAAATAAAAAGCTAGCATCTAACCATATGGTCCCTCCCAGCAACCTATTTTCCAGGTCCCCCTCAAAAGAGGGAATCATCACCCCAAATCCTGTGTCATAGTTCCCATACTTTCCTTTCTCTGTTAAAAAAAATGTCTTATGTATTCTGGAAAGAAAATATTTTGGTTGTTTTTAACGTATATGTAATATTTGGGGGTTTTTCCCACTTAATATTATATTGCTAAGATTTATCCAAGTTATCTCTGGTTGCTGTCCCTCATTCATTTTTGATTGCTGTATAATATTCCACCAGTGGCTAGATCATGATTTATTCATCCATTCTTCCATTGACAAGCATTCCCATTGCTTCAACAGTATTTCTGCTGTGACCAGTGCTATAACGAGCATTCTTACACATCTTTTACTGTCCCGTGGACTCATTCTCTTAGAAATAACCCTAGGTATGGAATTGCTGGACTGTAAACCAGGTGAATAGTCAGCTTTAGGAGAAAATTCCAAACTCTTTTGAAAGTCACTATATTGACTTGCAATCCCATCATCAATGTAGAAAAGATCCTGTATGAGGTGCCTGGGTGGCTCAGTCATTAAGCATCTGCCTTCGGCTCAGGTCAGGATCCCAGGGTCCTGGGATCGAGCCCCACATCGGGCACCCTGCTCTGCGGGAAGCCTGCTTCTCCCTTTCCCACTCCCCCTGCTTGTGTTCCCTCTCTCATTGTGTCTCTCTGTGTCAAATAAATAAATAAAATCTTTAAAAAAGAAAAGAAAAGATCCTGTACATCCAGCATTTGGTATTGTCAGTCTTATTTTTTTTGCTACTTGAAAAAGTATAAAATGGCAACCGGTTCTAGCCTTGATTTGCATTTTTCTGGTCACTTATAATGCAGAACACCCCTTCATGTTTTCACATGCATTTGTTCCTGGCTGAAATGCCCACTCCCGCCTCCCACCTGCTCTTCCTTGTGCTGCTTTGCTCTTATGATTCACAGGAGTTCTTTGTGGTTCTTAACACTAATCTTGTCAGGGCATCATGAAAACCTGCTCCCACTCTGTAATCTGACTTTTCACTTTCTTTCAGCTATCTTTCAATGAACCAAAGTTCTTCATCGTAATGTAGTTGGGTTTAGCAATCTTTTAGAGTCAAGGCTTTTTTGTGTTGTGTTTAACACAAAAGAGGGGTGTCTGGGGGCACCTGGGGGGCTCAGTCAGTTGGGCGTCTGCCTTCAGCTCAGGTCATGATCCTGGGGTCCTGGGATCGAGCCCCGCATCGGGCTCCCTGCTCAGCAGGTAGCCTGCTTCTCCCTCGGCCCCTCCCCCTGCTTGGCTCCCTGTCTCTCTAATAAATAAAATCTTAAAAAAAAAGAGGGGTGTCTGTGTTAAGACACCTAATCCTTATGCTAAGGTCTAAAAGATATTCATTTATTCTTTTCTACTAAGAGTTTTAAAGTTTGTTTTTGACATTTCAGGCCTTTTAATCTATCGGAAGGTGATTTTTTGTGTGTGTGTATGTATGAAGTGGAATCTAATTTTCCGTGTAGAGAATTATTTTTTTTTCCAGTTTCTCCTTTCCCCACCGCTCTGACACGCCCCATCATGGGTGGGCCTGTCTCTGGGCTTTCTGCTCTGTTCCATCTGTCAGTCTGTCTGCTCTTCGTCCAATGCCACGTTGTCATGATGACTCCAGCTTCACGAGGCGTCCTGATCTCTGGCAAGTCCCCCCTGCCTGTTCTTCTTCAGACTTATCATGGCTAATCTTGGAGAAATATATTTAATACATGACCTACTCACATATACAAACACATACATCACCACACAACAGTTTTCAGAACATTCCTTACCTCAGTGTGCCCTCAGTATGTTTATTCTATCCTATTTCATTATAAAAAAAAAAATTCCAGGCATCATCCACTAAATTGATTTCATATCCTGCTAATGGATAATGATGCACAGGGTTTGAAAACACTTTGTTCCTCTAGCTACACTGGATGGCCAGGACCTTACATGGACATTCATTCATTCATTCAGCAAATATTATGGTCATATATAATGTTCAGGCACTGGATGAACTGTACTTCATGCCAGGAACACAACAGAGAAGAAAACAGACCCAATCCAGGGCCTGACGTCATGTTTACAATCCTGGCTAAACAAGTCCACAGAGAGGCTCTCTAGGAGATGATCTGGAAACTATAAGAAAAGGAGTTCGCAGGATAAGACAGCAGGAATGACCTCTCCAGCAGAGGGAATACACAGCAAGTGCAAAGGCCCTGAGGCCTCAAAGAGCATGAGAGACCTGGAGGAACACAGTGTGGCCACAGCATACTGGGGAGGAAGGAGAATCCTGCCCAGACAGAGGCCATGCTAAGCATGACTTTTTTTTTTTTTCCTTTACTAGGAGCAGTGACAAGCATGGAAGGATTTTAAGGATGCAAGTGATCTGATCTGGTTTGTGTTTAAAAATCTTTCTGTTCCAGGTAGAGAAAGCTCAGAGATGGAAGTGTGGGTCAGGGCAGGAAAGGAATCAGGGCCAGTTAGGTTCTCATGCTGTGCCCACCAAGGCCCAACCCCAAAGGCACCAACCTCCTGTACCTGCCAGCAGAAGCCGGAGCTCCCTCCTGGTTGGCCCCAGGGCAACTTCTTAGCTCATGCTGATCTTAGAGCACACACCACACCGCTCTGTGGCCGTTTACCCATGTTGCTTGACAACAGAGACAAGCTTTGTGTCCCCCGCACCTGGCGTGGTGCCTATGCTGGGGTAAGACTTTCTTGTCTTAAGACAAGAGCTTAAATGTTGAAATGCACACCCCCCCCTCAGCCCCAACCCTCGGCTGAAGATGTGGACAGGGCTCTTTAGTTTGGGAGAACTGTCTACAACCAGGGCCAAAATATCTGAAGCCCAGGGACAGCTGCATTGAAAGATGGGATGGAGACTTGTGTTTTGTATTAACTAGAGACAACCCTGAGAGACCCGGGGAGAAGCATCGTCCTCAAGGCTGGCAAGCAGATCACCTTTGACTGCTGAGTGCAAACCAGGTTATAGTTGTCCTGCCCTCTCTCCGGGAGCTGGATTCTTCAGTTCTTGGGAATGGCCCTGCATGTCTTCAAGCCCGCCGGCCCCCGCCTCCTGGCACCTCTCCTATCAGGATGACAAGCCCAGAAGACGCTGGAGAGCTGGGGATCCTCGTCAAGGAAGCTGGTGGCCCTGGGTCAATCACCTACCCTCTCCGTGCCTCAGTTCCCCCATCTGTCCATTGGAAGAATAATGCTTCCCTCAAAGGGTTGTCATGATTAAATCCTTCCTAAAGGTCTAATCACACCTGGCCTAGGGCCTGACACAAAGCTCAACAAGGTTAGTTCTGCTTCCTTCTGCCCTACCAAGGGCAAGCTCCCCCACCCCCACCTCGGCATGATGAGCTCCACAAGGGCAAATACAGACCGTCTCTTCTCTGTACTGGTTCTTTTTTTTTTTTTTTTTTTAAGCAATCTCTACACCCAGCATGGGGCTTGAAGTCACAACCCCAAGATCAAGAGTCACATGCTCTACCGACTAAGCCCGCCACGACTGGCTGTTGTTTATCTCCTTGGTTTGAATGGGAGCTCCAGAGCCGCACCCCAGCCTTGAAGCATGCCTGGTATGTACCCGTGGGTCTCTACATAGCTGTCGAATAAATGAAGGAACAGAGAGGTGCAGTGACTTGCCCAAGGTCACCCAGCCAGGAAGCTACAGAGCCAGGAATTGAACCTCTGTTGTCTGACTCCTAGTTTAGGCTGCTGCCACGGCCAGTCCCCAGCACCAGCCTTAGGTCCATGGAATTTGGACACACTTCTGAAAATAAAATAGGACACACACACACACACACACAGCCCAAAACAAACTGCATAGCTTTACCATCACGCCTGAGAGAGCTGAGGAGGGAAAAAGAAGATTCTGTGTCCTATTGCAATCTGCAAGGAAACTTGGAAGTGCCTCTCTACCCTGAAGCCCCCCGCCCCCCTCCACGAAGGGTCCAGATGTCCCCCTTCTGCCCAGGCTGGTCCTGCCTCCAGCCTCATGTATGTGAAGCAGCCCCGGCGTGGCCGGGGCTGGGAGGGGTAAGTGCCTGAGCGGCTGGGGGTGCTCTGCACCAGGCTCAGCCTTGGCCTCCTCGAAGCCGTCGGCAGGTGAAACCCAGTGCTCACCTGTACGATCCCGACAGGACATATCTCCAGTCCGAAATGATGAACTTCTCCTGGATTTGGCCAGCGAACTTCCGGCCTGATTTGGCACAGTACACCTCTCCTTCCACACTCCGGATGGAAATGTTCTGTTGGAAGGAGAGTCAAGGCGTCATTCACTAATTACATGCATATAGATAGATACACGTTTGCCTAGGAAAACATCTGGAAGGATGCTCAGCAAGACATAGGCAGGGGTTATCTCTTATTCATAGGCTCACTGGCTATTTTTATTTTTCCCTTGGCTGAATTTTCTAAATTCTTTTCATTGTCCTGACATTATTTGAGTCATGGCGGGGGAAGGGGGGAGAAAAAAGGAGATGGTAGAATTTAAACAAAGTGGCAAACAGAAGAAAGATGAGGGCCTAATGTCCATGGAGCCCTCCATCTAGGCTCCCAGGGACCACAGAGGCCTGGCCAGCCTTGCCCTTTAAGTGGCTTTAGTGACATGAGTCCCTGACCCCAAGCTGGTCAGAGGGAAGGGCAGCCGGAGGGGGTACCTTTGCGGAGACCTCAGTGGACCCTAGATTTTCCTAAGGAAAGGTGTGTCCACAACCCAAATCATGGCCCCGTTTGTCCCTTCCCCTGCCCCCAGGAACCTGCTGCCCCAGCCCTCAGCCAGAACCCTTGGGAGGCTGGAGAAATGAAAAGGTGGGTAAAGCACGGGTATCTCAGAAAGGTAGGATACTGCTGGGATCCCCTGAATGTCCCTGGTGGCTGGGCAGGCTCTGGGAAGGGGATGCGCAATGCTTCCAACAGCGATTCCCAGCCCCTCCATAAGCTCTGTGACACGTTAAGAGGAGGGCCGCATCCCACCGTCCCTTGGGGGACAGAGGACTGGCAGGCGTGGCCGGCATGGGCCACGGAGGCAAGGCCTGCGCTGACTCTCTGCACCTCTGTTGATGGCCTCCTGTTGAGGAGGTGTGATCCTGGTCAAGCAGACCCAGTAAGCCCAGGACCGAGGCCTGCCTCTCCGGGAGGTGCCTGAACTCAGCTGCGTCCCGGGCAGTGAGGAGGGGACGCGCAGGAGAAAGGGAGGACGGCGGGGTCTCCCGGAGGCTGACCTGACCGAGCTAGAGCAGGGTCACCAAGGGGCCCACCCATCCGCTGTTCCTCGGAGCCTGCTCATAAACACTGGGTGGTTTTACATCGGACCTTGAGTTAGCTGCCCTAAATCTGACATGACTAAATGAACCCTTATCTCTGGGTTTCTTTTCTCCTTGCCAGAAGAAGGAAGTCAGCGGGGAGTTGGGTTCAGTCCAAGAGGATCAGCTTCCCGTCAGGGCTGACTCGTGGATGCTGCCCTGGCCTGTGAAGTGAGGCCACGGGGTTTCTTCAGCCAAGAGGACAAAAGGCATGTGCAGCAGAGATTGCTGCTCACGAGACACCCAAGGGCCCCCTTCAGTTCCCAGCTCCCGTGTATCTTCATGAGGCTGTAAGCAGGAGGGAAGGCAATCTCTTCCAGGTCAGGTCCTGCACATCCCTCTGCTCTCTCCCTACCACTGCCATCTGGGAGGCCATGTACTCCTTATGGTGTAGCTACAGGATGAGGGAGGGCTGTCTGTCCTACGCTGGACTTTGAGCAAGAAATAAACCTTTACTACATTAAGCCATTGAGATGGGGGGGGGGGTCTGTTAGCATGGCGTAAGCTATCCTATCCTAATACAAAATCCCTTTTGGATGCTCACTGGGGGCCCCTACCTTGAGGTGGCTGTCAGAGATCTGGACTTTGTCACACATCTCTTGGAAGAGCTTCACACCTCCCTGGTCCAGGAGCACACAGACAAACACCCCACGCTTGTTGGCCGCCTCTAGAATGTCACAGAAGATCTCCACATCCGTGAACATATCCATCACGATGGCCAGGACCTGGGCCAGGGCAGAGGGGTGGAAACAAAAAGAGTCAGGGGCCAGGTGCTAACTGGTTTCAGCAGAGCTTCCCAAGTCCCGGTGGCCCTAAGAGAGCAGTTCCCATTGCTGCTGGCCTGGAGGAGAAAGCGTGAGATGGGGGGCTCGCCAGGGCAGCATTCGAGGGAACAGAGCTGGAGGGGAGGCCTCCGCCCGACTCCATCTGTCCAGCCCAACCACTGACCGTCCGGCCTCCCGGCCCACTGCTGGAGTGCGGCATGCACGGGAGGAAGGAGACGAAGGCAGAGAAGGAGCACAAGGAGGGGGAAAGGAGAACAGGAGGTGACCAGGCAGGCTCAGAGCTGAGGGATGGATTCAACGTCACGGCTGCTCAGCCATGTGGAGCTCGAAGGCACTCTATGGCCCCTGGTTTTCAAATGTTTTTAAGCCACGCAATACTGCCTCGAACAAGATCCCCGTGGAGACCCTACAGATCGACTGGACAAGGCTGAGCTGCCCCAGTGGGACGCAGAAGGGAGTCCTCCTCTATCATAACAGCATCCTGGGGAGGGGCGCAGAGAGCCCTAGAAATCCAGCAAAACGGGGAGACGTGTGTACGCCCGCCTGCCAAGGACCCACCCCTCCTGTTGCCAGCCAATCTCCCTTTAATCAATCACTTCTCCACAAGCAACGAGGCTTGGGCGGGGCCACTGCCAGGCGTCGGATTGGGCGCGGGGAGGGCACATCACCAAGGCCAGACCAATGAGAGCACGGCATCCCCCGCTGGCCACAGAGATTGGCCCAGGGCTGCTCACATGACCTACGTTATTCTAATGAGGGCCTGGGGGCAAGGAGCGGGGGTTGCTCAGCTCGGGGAGGAGGAGCTACAGCTGCTGGCAGCCGTCTTGCCGCCACGTGGGGACAGCCTGCCTGAAAATGAAGTCAGCCCCCGCGGAAGCAGGACCAAGCACGTTGCCAGCAGCATCCTTCGAACATCTGGTTTCACTCATGCTTGGAAGTCAGTCCTGCCCTTGACTTTCCCACTGTAGATGTCAGTGCATGCTCCTCTTCTTAGACTTGTTTGGGGTTGTTTTCCACGGTATTGTGATTTATAAAAAGAAATGTATATTTGGTCTTTGTCCTTGTTTCTGGCACCAAGCTCTAAAACACTTGGAATTTCCTAAGTGGTGAGAGCGGAGAGATAAAGGTCCTTTGTTATGTTAATGAGGTGACTTTTGGATGAGGGCTGGTTGCCTGGGGAACCAACTAAGTGATTAGAGGGTTGGAATTTTCTGTCCCTCCTACCCCCCTACCCCAAGGAAAGAGAGAGGGGCTGGAGGTTGAATCAACTGCCAATGTCAATGATGTAATCATTCGTGGTGTAACTGAAGCCTACCTAAAAACCCAAGAGGATGGGTTCAGAGAGCTTCTGGGTTGGTGATTTGGGGAGAGCAGAGTGCTCAGAGAAGGTATGGAGCTTCCATGCCCTTCCCCATACCTTGCTCTGTGCATCTCTTCCATCTGGCTGTTCCTGAGTTCTACCCCTTATAATAAACTGGTAATCTAGAAAGTGAAATGTTTCTTTGTTGTGAGCCACTCTAGCAGATTGATCAAGCCCAAGGAGGGGGTCGTTGGAGTCTCCAGTCTGAGCTTGGGACTGGCATGGGTTGGGTTGGGACACCCAGCTGGTGGCTGAGAATTGCTCGGTGGTGGGGACCCCACACAGTGGGATTAGAGCAGAATTAGACGGCTGTCAGCCAATCAAAAGTCTGTCCTAATACCCAAATCGTGGCACGTCGACATGTGGATATGGCAGCCATTAGCAATGATAATTATAATGGTCACATAAAAACTGAGATGTGGCGAAATGTTGAAGCAAAACTGCTGTATGATCCATGCTCGACACAGATGTATTAGCAATGAATGAATTTGGTGAAAAAGGGTAACAGAGCACGAAATGATGGTCCATCCGCTATGACTGCCAGTGAGGGAAAGTGGTGTGTAGACACATAAGAGAGCACAAAGCCAAAACGAGCAGTCACGTTTGGACTGGGCACTACGGCAGTTTTCAACATTACCTGTAATAACGTTCCACCGTTTTTCTAATAATTACTATATAGTATATATAGTAATTATGTATATGGAATATAGAGATATATATGTATATACAGATACGTAGATATATTGTCCATCAACATCTGGGAAGTAGCCAGGACAAGAAGAGGGTCATTGAAACAGACCAAGGAGATGTCTGGTACCCACGTGGAGTTGACTTGCTGCTCAGATGATGTGACTGTCCGGACAGGGGAGGGAACTGCCCAGGTTAGAAGTCAGAAAAGATGCTGAAATAGTGAGGCCACGCTCCTTTAGAGCCGTGGCCCTGTCAGCACATGATTGTCTCTGCACATTTAAATTTACGGTATCAACAGCAACCAAGGCCCTCTCTGCCGGAAGAGAAATGCGTCCTCCTTGAGGGTGGTATAGGTGAAAGGGACACTTCTCTCTCCCCGGGAGGTCAGTAAATCCTCCCCGGGTGTGTTCCAGCGAGTCCTTGCTTCCCAGAGACAGGGCTGGTGACAGATTGAACAGAGAAGGGGCCATGTTTGCAAATAACCCCAGGTTGTGATTGAAGGGATGCTTGGAAAAACAGGCTCACGATGTCTAGGTTTATCCTGTTGGCCTCCTGTTGGGATTGGCTCCCAGGCAGATTGACTCAAAGCCCATAACCTCTTCAGTCCCCTGCGTGGTCGTGCTACCTTACAGGGTGTCGTGGGATGAATGACGACCTCCCGAAAGATATGTCCACCAGAACCTGTGGACGTGATCTCCCCCTTGGAAAAAGTCTCCACAGGTGCAATTAAGACTTTCAAGATGAGCTCATCCTGGATTATCCGGTGGGCCCTAAATCCAATGGCAAGTGTCCTTGTAGAAGACACCCAGAGGAGAGACCGGGAGAAGAGGGGGAGCTACATGAAGACAGAAGCAGAGCGTGGAGTAAGACGGCCACAAGTCAAGGAACGCCCACAGCCACCAGAAGCTGGAAGCAGAAGACAGGACCCTCCCCCAGAGACTTCAGAGCAAGGAGGGCCCAACTGACAGCTTCATGTTCGGTCTGGCTTCCGGAACAAGAGAATAAATATCTCTTGTTTTAAACCACCCGCGGGGTGGTAACTGTCGCAGCAGTCCTGGGACACTAATACGGAGGGGTCACACACAGTCCAGGCCACAGTGCTCTACGGGGTGTTAGGGAACTGTGGCTCCAGCCGCCGTGCTACTGGTGATGAGCTGAGAGCCTTTGGACAAGTCACTTACCCTCTCTGGGCCTCAGTTTCTTTACCGATAAAACACTGCTCAAAAATAGAACATTAGCTATCATTCAAGCTGCATCTAACCCTGAGCCCAGATAATATAAATGAAACCAGGTGCAAAAAGCAAAGGTTTTTATTCTTGTTTGTAGTGAAAATATGACTATGATTTTATATGCATTATGAGCAAGTATGAATCATGTTAGAATAACACCATGTAAACATGCTTTAGTCCAGGGTATGGAAAAGGATTAAAATTAGTGCTGACACCTCTAGGGGCATAAAAAAGAAAAAAAAGTAGGCCAATCCGCTGGGCCAGCACGTTGGGGTGGGGTTGGCTGAGAAGAAGGAAGTGCTTCCTCAACCCCTCGCTGAAGGAGGAAGCCCAGCCTGGCAGGCCGGCTCTGGGAATCTGAGCTGCAGAGAGACCCAGGAGCCCCGCCAGGGGGATGCTGGTCCTCTGGGGCTCTACCCATAGGCAAGGGTCATCCTGTGGGGACTTTGAATCCTGGCTGAGAGTCCCTCATCCCCTGCCAGACAGATGGGAGCTCCTCGGACCAGGAAACCCTGCCGCCTCGAGAATGGCAGGGTGGAGGAGGTCCTGGACAACGAGGGACCACCGACAGCCCAGAGCCTGCTGACACTGTTCCAACCAGCCAGTCCTAAGCTGTTCGCTCTGCCTGCCCTCCCTTTCCTGCAAAAGCACAGTAAGGGCCTGTGCCCACGCGTCCTTCTGGCCCCTTCTGCCTCCCACCCCACTGTGGTGCTTCCTGTGTGGTCCAGCATGGCCTGCTCCGCCTCCTGCTTCTAGAGAGCTCTGAGCAAAACCTCCTTGTTTCTTGCCAGTCATTTCCATGGCACGTCTTCCCACCGGCGGGACACCCAGCCCTCTTACACCTCCTGCCCTTTGCCTGGACTCCCTCTCCCTTTCCCTTCCCTCTCTGCCTGACCACCTCTTACTCAGCCTCTGAGACTCAGCTCAGGGGCCCCCTCCTCCGTGAAGCCTGCCTTAGTCACCCTGTCCTCCCCTCGCAGGCACAGAGGGTTGCTCACACCCAGGGCTGCCTCCCACCCCATGTCTCCTTCTCCTCCCCTAATGGGCAGGCAGAGGCAGGGAGCTCCGCAGAGGGAGGGAGGCCTCTGGTTCTGCTCTGCCATCCTGGGTGCAGGGCCCGGCTATGAATTAGGCTTTGGGGAATAAAGGAATGCGAGCACGGAGGGAAAGAGGGAGAATTCCTGCTAGTTTAGGTAGTGGAAACTGGTCTGGAAAACACGGAACTCTGTTTGTTTTCCTCTCAGGAGGCTGAAGCCATAGGGGGAACATGCAAACCTACCCACCCTCTGGCTCTGAGTGGGGAGGCAGGGTCACAGCCTGCTTCCGTGGACAGCCTATGACGAGGTTCCAGCCCCCCTGGCATCTCTGTGGGGACAGGTCACCCCTGAGCCCGTGTGTGTGTGTGTGTGTGTGTGTGTGTGTGTGTGTGTGTGTGTGAAGACTATCAACACTCTCTGCCTGCAGGGGCCTGAGAGAAAACAAAGTCGGGGGTGGGGGTTGCCTGGGTGGCTCAGTCGTTAAGCGTCTGCCTTCTGCTCAGGGCACAGTCCCAGGGTCCTGGGATCGAGCCCCGCATCGGGCTTCCTGCTCAGCAGGGAGCCTGCTTCTCCCTCTCCCTCTGCTGCTCCCCCTGCTTGTGCTTGCTTTCCCTCTCTTTCTCTCTCTCTCTCTCTCTCTCTCTCTCTCTCGCTGTGTCTCTCTGTCAAATAAAGAAATAAAATATTAAAAAAAAAAAAAGAAAGAAAACAAAGTGGGGGAAGCTCATCAAGGCCTGGGACAAGAGGGCGTGGTGGGGACTGTGGCAAAGGGGACTCACCCACCAAAGAGGGGGTTGCCACCTTCTTACTTCAGGTGAAATCTTCAGGATTTTAAGTGTTGTCTTAAATTCGTAACATGCTGTATTGGTGAAACAAAGCATATCAGGGGCCTCAGGGCCACAGAGGGAGGGAAGCCTCGCTGGGTGGGGAGGAGGGGACAGGGGAGGTCTCAGCCAGGGGATTGCTGGAGTCCCTCTGCCCCTTCCCCAGCTGCAGCGGGAAGCCACCGGATGGGAGAACTGATAACCAAATGCCCGTCACCGTGCCTGAAATTCTACTGGCCAAGCTCCGGTCATGAAATATTTTTTTCTTTTCTTTTTTTTTTTTTTAAAGATCTTATTTATTCATTTGAGAGAAAGAGCATGAGTGGTGTGGAAGGGCAGAGGGAGGAAAAGCAGACTCCCCTCTGAGCAAGGAGCTGGATGCGGGGCTCGATCCCAGAACTCTGGGATCATGACCTGATCCGAAGGCAGACACTTAACCGACTGAGCCACCCAGGTGCCCCTATTTTTCTTCTTCTAAAGTCATCTATTAAAACGTAAATACTCTGCGGAAAAACCTTCTCTCTGCCTATTCTGTCTTCTGTCTGACCACCAGCTGGTTTCAGGGGCTGCCCAGTCATTTGTGGGCAGACAGGTCTATGCTGAGTCTGAGAGGACAAGGGACAAGCGTGTGTCTCAGCGGACTGGCCCCTTCATTTGGAAGCACAGAGGTGAGGCGCCTGGCCTAGCCAGGGGGGAGTTCAGGAGAGCCTTCCTGAGAAAGGGACGTGGGTGCTGCGTCCTGAGGAAGGAGTAGGCCTCCGTCAGGTGAAAAGCAGGGAAGGTGAGGGGGTCCCAGGCAGAGGGAACGGCACATGCAAAGCCCCAAAGACAGAGCAAGGGGGGCTGGAGAGGCTGCAGGTCCCTCGGGACTGAGTGGCAGGAGCTGGGAGAGGAGCTGGAGAGGTTGTGAGCCATAAAGACTTTGCTCTTCCCACTGTGGGCAATTGGGAGCCATGGAGGGCTCTAAGCAGGGAAGGGACCAAGTTAGATTTGAAGCATAGAATAAGTGCTCTACTACAACAGGGAGACTGGGTGGGTGGGGGTCAAGATGGAAGACGAGGGGCAGGCAAGAAGCTACTGCAGGAGTTCCAGTGATGGGTAGGGGTGGTCTGGACGGGGACTGTGACGGGGGAATCAGAAAGTCAGCGATCCAGGGCAAGACAGAGAATAACATCCCCGACTCCATCCTCAGACCCGGTCGTCTGAACTCCGTGCCTTAGAGCAGGACCCACCCCCCTCTTCCTCCTCCGCCAGCACCATTCCTCCCCCCACCCCATGGCCAAGGGGACACAGGCCCCACCACGGATACCTGGCTGGTCCGGCTGATGCAGCGGCGAATGAGGTCTCTGATGTTGTTGTGCTTGTCCATCTGGAAGTACACAGTGGCGCTGGACTTTTCCTTCAGGTAGGGCTTCTCGGCTGAGGCCCAGGTGTGCAACAGGGGCGGCTCGCTGCCCTCCGAGGCCACGGGGAAGTAGGTGCCTGAGTGCAGGGAGTGGGAGTCCATCCCCCGGAGGCCTGCCTCTGCCCCTCCTGGGGGCTCCGGGGCACAAGCGGGCTCCTTGGCCTGGGCCTGGATGTACTGGGCCTCCACCGAGGACAAGAAGTCTACCTCACCTTCCTGGCTGAGCGCCTGCCGGTAGGCCTCAGGACCCCCATCCAAGAGGGCGTCTGTGGCCAGCCGGGCACTCTCATTGTCGCTGAAATCGGCCCTGGTGGGCCGGACCCACTGGCTCTTGACCTCTTCCAGGCGTTTCCGGATCTTGCCCACATGCCTGGACCGGCTCATGTTGCCCCAGCCCTGAGTCGTGGTGGGCAGGAGGCCGCGGCTTGAGCTCCTCCTGATGTCAGGGCAAATGGGCTGCACCACCGGGGAGGGGAGCCCTCAGCGCTCCCGGGAAGCACGCAGCATCCACCTGCCACGCCTCGCGCCCGCTCCAACGAGGTGACTTACCACTGGCCTGAGCGACACTTGCCTGGGATCACCCTCCCGGCCAGGCCCTGGCTTATCTTGGGTGCCACCGCCCTGCCCGCGGGCCGGAGGGCCGGCTCCACCACACCCTGGCACACTCAGCCCTGGGAGCCGTCCTCCACGCCCAGCAGCCGGCCCGCGTGCCTTGCACAACTCTCCGGGGGCCCCGGCCTGCGATGCAGAGCAGGGAGGCTCTCCCAGCACCCCCGGGGGCCTCGGCCCCTCCCGTGCTCTCAGTTCAAACGCCATTGGTGCAAGACGAGAACTCCCCTGTGGGAGAAAGAAGTTGCCCCTGAGATTGCGCCAGCATGGGGCGGGAAGCTGGCCGTGGGCCAGGCAGAGCCGTCCACCAAGCATACTCCCTTCTCCCAGAGACAGCGAGTTCCCGGCCTCTGGTCCTCTGAAAAAGCTTTGCTCTGCTCCCTCTCTCCCCTATTGTGTTGGCCACAGTCGTGTTTGAACAAAGCCCCCCAGAGAAGCTCCAGTCTGTGGGCTGCACGACCTGCTTGGAGGAGGGCCTGGAGAGGAAGCTACCCTTGTGTCTGGGCCCCGGGGGCGTTGGGACCTGTCTCCCAGCGGGAGGGGCAGGGGGTAGCAGGTGTGTTTGAAATATAGGAACAGCTAAGGGGGAAGGCACATTTTCTTTCTAGTTCAGGTCATGGTCAAGTCCATGTCGGCGGAATGCAATGTCTGTCTCTGGGTTCAGCCAGAAACAGACCGAGACAGGATTCGAGTATAAGTAGCCCATTGGAAGGTGATTCTAAGAAGCGCCAGTCGGGGAGGGAGGAGTGAGACAGGATGGGACAGGCAGGGAGCCACCACGGGGCATGCTTACGAGCAGGCTACTGTGATGCACATCTGGGATTTATTAACATCGAGGGACCATCTGGGGTCATTCCTGCCGGGCCCCCTGGGAGATGGTCTAGGGGACCTCTTTGAATTTTCCTACCCAAAGGGTGAGAATTTATCTACCAGCCTCCATTTGTCATCGGCAGAGGGCTGCTCCTGGGCCCACATTAACCCCCACGGGGCAGGCCTGCCCGGTGCTCACCCAGCACAACCCTGAAGCCAGAGGAGGCATGCGGTCAGACTCCCCGGGGCGCGGTCAGAGGCTCACGGGAGAGGGGAGGGCTAAGGGGATCGAGTAGGGCCCTGACAATGTCTGCTAAAAGAACTCTGCAGAACACCGGGACTGGGGGGTCCTCGCACGGCTGGCATTGAGGAAGAGCCAGAAGTCTGTCTGGGGCTGGTCTATTTGGAGGAAAATCGCTGTCAGCATCTGTAACCCACCGAAGCTGCGGCCCAAGCGGCTCCGTCCAGGGGGAGAGCAGGATTTTTAAAAGCACAGCCCAAAGAAGAGAAAAAGAAATTAAAAGAAATTTCTTCTCCTCTTCTGAAGGTCATTGAAGAAATCCAGTTCACACCCTCAGCGACCCTGCCTTTATTGGAGGTTATCTAATCCCTGAAGCCCTCGGGACGACAAACCTAACAAACTCTCTCCCCAGTGCCCTTCTGGCTCCATGCCCTTCCGCCAACTCTTGCTGATGCGGATCGACTTAACCTCTTTCCCACATTCTCCTCGGAACCTGCCTCCTCTCTGGCCCTCCTCAGTCCCTTCTCCCGTTCTGCGTCACCTACGTCCAGTGCCCAGTCTGTTGAAACCAGCCTGGGGAGGGGAGGAATGATCCCTGGGATTTGTTCTGGTTCACACCCAGGCTTGAAAACTGTCCGCGGCTCTCCATTGCCTGCCATGTTAAGTTCCATTTCCAAGGCTCACGTTGGAGACACTGTGTGCTTGAGACCTGTGTGAACATTCCAGCCTGTCCTCTCCTACACTGGGCTGTCCTTGAGTGCTCGCAGCAGGCTGGCCATCTGTGCTGAGGGAGATACAGATTAGTGGGCCTCATTTCACAGATGAGGAACCCAAGGCTCAGAGAGGTTGAGTAACGTGTCCAAGATCACACAGCTAGTGAGTGGCATAGCCTGGGCACTGTCACTCCAAACCCCTTGTATTTTCCCCTGGCCAAACTTCACCCTTCCCCTCCCCTCCCCTTTCCCTTTCTACTCTCAGAACAATCCACATCCTCTTACCAGTTCCAGAATGTATACAGGGGAGGATAAAAAAAGGGGGTGGATGTGATGGGGTTCTCCTCTCACCCAGGCCCAATTCTCTTTGTTCAATGAGTTGAGGGACCCCTGAAGCAGTGGCCTGTCTCCCGGGCCTGCAGGGACTATTTTTAGCTGTGCACTTGCCGAGCAGCTCTCATTTAAACAAAAACAAAAACAAAAAACAAAAATCTGAGTGGACCTTTCACCTCTAGAGCTGCTGGAGGAAGAAGAGCCCCGTTTCTCCTTTCCTCAGCTCCATGCCCTCACAGAAACCCAGAGACTCTACTTAAATCCTCCAGAACAGACACAGATACATTCTATGTGCGCGGACACATCTTATCCCTCTATTACTGTGTCCCTGGCAGACATGACTAGTGGAAAACAGAACTCTTTCCCCAGGAGCTGGGAACCACCCCTCCCTGCCCTCTACAGGGCTCAGAGAGAAGCCCTCCCCTGGAGGAACCTTGGATGTACCGCAGACACTCCATTTGCTGATGAGAAGCCAGAAGCACAGAGAGGGGATGTCCCGGCCACTGGCCGGTGCGGGTCATCGGGGTCGTCCTCCGCTCCTCTCCTCCGCAGCCCCAGCCCTGTGGAACATCACCGTTCTTGCTGGGTCTGCTGGCTGCAATAACAAATCCCCCGACCTGGGACTGCGCGTCCCGCCAGCTGTTGGGCCACACCTTCATATGCTGAGAAATCCTTCCCAAAGAGCCCTGAGCTACAGGCCCGGCGGCTTGCAGAGGACTCACCTCCTTCCTGCCTTCCGCCTGATGTGTAGTCTCCCCGGCTCCTGATGACACCCACGAGGAGAGCAAGAATAAGAAGCAGGCTCCTATTAGCAAATGAGTGAAATGAATGGTGGTGGGGCTTGGCAGTTTGGGTCTTCACCCGGCGGGCATCTGGCAGTGTCTGGAGACATTTTCAGCTGTCACAGCGATGGGGGTGATGCTGCTGGTATCGGGGGGTGTAAGCCAGGGATGCTACTGCATCCTACAATGCACCGGCCGGCCCCCACCACGAAGAGCTAACTGGCCCCAAACGTCAACAGTGCTGAGACGGAGGAACCTTGTGGAGGGTCCAGGCAGGTGCGCTCGCAGACCCCGCTGAGCGGATGCCTGACCCTCCCCTTGTGGGAGGTCCAGTGCTCCGCCCTTGTTCAGCTTGCCCCCTGCGCTGGAAGTCCTGGCCTCCACCATCACAACGTAGGCAAAGCTTTCTCAGCGTCCTAGATCTTTCTCGATTCTCACTTTCCCTGCCAATTCCCAAGCTGCTGACTTCCTTCCTCTTCTGAGCCTACAAGGTGCTTATAGAACTTGCCTCAGTCAGTCTTGTACTAGATGCGTGCCTCATCTTCCCCAGTGCCAGGGAAAAGGCGTCCATGCCTTCGGAACAGGCACAACTGGGTTCCAATGATACTATGTGACCTTGGGCAGGTAACTTAGAGGACATCACTGAACTTCACTTTTCTGTCCATATACGAACAGCTGACATTTAGGGAACATGTCTTGTGCACCATTCTAAGTGCTTCATGTGTAGGAACTCACTCAATCCTCATAGCGACCCCAAGAGTAAGTGCTATTACCATTTCTGTTTCATGGATAAAGGAACCCGAAACATAGAGGTTACCTAACTTGCCCAAGGTCACCTGGCTGGGAAGTGGCCATGCCAGGAGCTACGCGTGGGTGGTCTGGTCCCAGAGTCCACCTGGTAGCCATGGGTGCATTCTGGCTCCCTCATGGGGTGAACCTCAAAGTGCATGGAATTTAACGGGGAAGCCCTGTGTCATAAGTGATCAAACCTTGTTCCATTTTTACTCCACTCTTTAGTCTGAGAGAGCGCCAATATGTTTTTCTGAGCTTTTTACGTGGCTTATATGATGCTCTACATGCCATTTTATATCTTGCCTTCTTTGATAGCATACAATACTCAGAAGTCTATTTCTCATATCATTACAAATGTCCATGCTTCCCTCTCCCTTCTCCCCAACCCTGTTTCTTGCTGAACAGGTTATTTATTTATTTATTAAAGATTTATTTATTTATTTGAGAGAGAGAGAGCAGGGGGAGGGGCAGAGAGAGAGGGGGAGAGAATGGATCTTTTTTTTTTTTTTTTAAGATTTTATTTATTTATGAGAGAGAGAGAGAGCATATGAGAGGGGGGAGGGTCAGAGGGAGAAGCAGACTCCCTGCCGAGCAGGGAGCCCGGTGCGGGACTCGATCCAGAGACTCCAGGATCATGACCTGAGCTGAAGGCAGTCGCCCAACCAACTGAGCCACCCAGGCGCTCAGAAATAAATATTTTAAGGATGTTGGAAACCAAGTCTCTTGCCATAGAGCATACAGAAAGCGGGGAGACCAGAATGAACTCTTGAGTGTTGTATATGAACTGGAGATGCTGATTTGAAATCACAGCTTCCAATATAGATAGATAAATTTAGAAATGTTTAAGTTACATGAATTCTAATATATAATATATAAATGATAAATACATGATATAAAATGTGAACATAACACGTAAATATATGCATATATTCCCTGGTTCCCTGATTTGTCCACTGACAGTGACAAATTGAGAAAATGATTTCTGCTTTTGCAGAAATGGCTGCTTTCATGTCTGGGGCAGGGAAAACACAAAAATGATCCTGAAACATCTTGTGCCAGAAAAGTGCCAAAAGAATAACACACACGTGTCAAAAAGACACAGAAGCCAGCTAGAAGGAGCTCCCACTGGATAACCTGGCACAATCGGAGGATCAGAATAATGGTAAGAAACGATTATAATACACAAAATAAAGTAGGAAACCCTGAGTCCATACTGACAAAAAATTTGAGGGATACTGAAAATTTGAGGGAGAACAGGCATTTAAACAGTGTCAAATAAATTCTCCTTAAAATACTTAGTAATTACAAAGAGGGAATAAGAAATTTGGCAACAGAGGATCCCATCAGCTACCACCCCAATCAAGGGATCAAAGTGACCCTCCTCAATAATGGCAGAAATCAAAACCTTGAGCCACCTGATAGGATGCAGTGAGAACAGCCAGCATCGCTTCCATGATATTCTTG